GCAATTTGATATAAATAAATAAATTACATTTACCTGAAGAAATCTCGAAAGATAAATCAAATCCTCCCACTTCAAACAGAACAATTCAATTCTGTTCTGAACGCTTTTATAAAAAATACCGTAAATTTTTTTACCAATGCAGTCTATTATAATTGTAAAATGATTTTCAACAGAATACGCTATAGAAGTAATAGTGGCAGAAACCAACACTACGCCTTTTTCATCGACTAAGACTCTCGAAATTTAGACGGAATGCGTCTGGATCTGAGTGTACCAAAACACGTTTAAAATAACGAAATGCCAGTAAGAAGTAGTTATAAATATTTAATCTTCTATGATAAACATGATCATTTTCAGTGGAATTTCATATAAACCTATCAACACTTAGGTAACCATGTTCCCATCTCCTCATTAATCACCTACCAGTCTGTCAGACAGAAGGTGCGGCAGATAGATGGTATCTCGTTTGGTGGAGTTTACATACCCCAACAATGATGAACAGGCATTTAGAAATAGAGTACTAGTGGACGGTGCTCTTTTCTGAATAAATCTGTGCAAATGAGGCCACAAATCCAAACGAAAATTCCCACGACACTTCCATCTTCAATTAACCGGCCCCAAATTTTAATTGGTAGATTAAGCCCATACACACTGTGTTACACTCGTATCTTGTTTAAATTGAATAACAACTAAATGTTCAATTCGATCTTTTATAATAGGGAAAGCAAGATTTTAGTTGCATTAATCTCATTGACAAAAAATGACAAAATGAAAACGAATTCTTCTCTACTAGACAATGCTAACTCTGGACAGATTTATGCGAAATTGCAAATAACCTGCCCTTTTCAGATCAATCAATATAAAGCCTACAACGAAAAATCCAGACAGATCGATCGTGTCCCAATTACGATATGTTCATATTAAATAACGGAATATCGGTAACAGACAGTCGATAGAAATGGTTGTAATTAGGTGAATTTAAAATTCTCCTACTCTACGCATTCAGTTTAATATCTATCCGCCCGGTTTTTAAAGTATAGATATTTAGATTCCGCCTTGATTGAAATAAGTGAGATAAAATCCTCAAGCAAGCTTTAAGAAAAGTTATCTCTTCTGACAGCTAAGACAATATTCTACAAACACTCATGTTATGATGTCATACAAAAACAGAAACTTTCTTCAATTTTCATTGGTCATTTATTAGTCTGTCAGACATCCCCATTCAAGTAAGTTTATACCCATTAATCAGGGGTGTGCGACAGACTTACCTCCATGTGGTGCACCCTGGGCAACGTATACTCATGCGACAATAAAGTCTATTAACCAACAGTTGACTTCTTACTTCAAAATACCATGGCCCGACTGCTTGTCATATTCGACCCCTTCCACAGTACTCATCTTACCTTTTTCTCTACCTTTGTGTCTGTCTGCCTCTTTAACATCTGTGAATCGCACTTCTGATCCCCACCCCTCGACTTTCTGCTACTTTGATGAACCTTCCTTATGTGAAGCCCGAAGTCAGCTAAATGGCTAATGATAGCTATCATAACGCCTGCCATTTGAAACAAATAGATACCTATTAATCACTAAACACCGACAACAAGGCTATTATATTTCTTATTTAATCGATCGGGTTTGATTCCATGTAAACGAGACTCGCGTAAGCGAATATCCTCAATTTTTATCAATTAATGCNATGGCAAACGAACAAAAGTTCTCCTTTGATCATACTGATGTCTTTTAATCAACTCGGGCAACCTCCAATCGTAGCAAGTGGTGTCCTTTTAACCTTAAAATATCGAGTCCCCCCCTCCCCTCCCCTCCTCAAAATTTAATGAGAATAATATATATAATATATATATACAATGAAGCGGGTGTGCGATAGACTTACCTCTACGTAGAGCACCCTGGGCAACGTATACTTATACGGCAAAAAAGTCTATTAACCAGTAGTTTTACATCTGATTTCAAACTGCCATGATCCCACTGTATGCCATATTCGACTACTTCAACATTACTCACCTCACGTATTTCTGCCTTTGTGTCTGTCACTTTTACATATTTGAAAAACTCTTCTGTTCTCCGCCCCCACAGCTCTCGACTTTTTTTCACCTTGATGTACCCTCCCCTCTGGGAAGTCTGAATTCAACTAAAGGTCTATTGATAAATATCAAGACTCCTGCATTTGATATAAATATATAAATAAATAAATCAATATATATATATATATATATATAAGCACAAGTTTTGCACTTTGGTATGTGGGTTAGACAAATAATGCGGATTTTGTGAAATTCTCGCTTTAGTACTTTCAAGGTCACTTCTTATGGTTGATTCTCCACTAGAATGATTTACCGTTTATTGCATTTGTATGGATCTATGATTGGGAAACAATTGACATTTTGTTCTCACTCATGTTATCATGAACTTCTCGACCCAGTAGTAATTGCGATGTAAATCGTCAAAGTCTTCCATAGCTAACCGATATTCGGATTCAATTTAGTACCCAATATTCCCTTAAAATTGTAGGTCGTACTGATTTAAAAAAACCTGTTATCTGACTAAATCTTTTAAACTAAAACGAAGTCAATGCATTGTATTGGCTTTTGTAGAAAAAGAAGGCTTTCTCTATCTGCCTTATAGTTGGACTTGGGGTGTGCGATAGACTTACCTCCACGTGGTGCACCCGGTGGGTGTGCGATAGACTTACCTCCACGTGGTGCACCCTGGGAAACGTATACTCATACGGTAAAAAGTCTATTAACCGGAAGTTTGTGTGCGATAGACTTACCTCCACGTGGTGCACCCTGGGCAGCGTATTTTCTTACGGCAAAAAAGTCTATCACTCGGCTTTCGTTATATTCATACGGCAAAAAGTCTATTAACTGGCAGTTAACTACGATAGACTTACCTCCACGTGGTGCACCCTGGGCAACGTAAACTCATACGGCAAAAAAGTCTATTAACTGGCAGCTGACTTCACTTGACCCTCTTGGTTGTCATACTCGATCCCTTTCACAGTACCCACCTTACCTTTTTCTCTACCTTTGTGTCTGTCTGCCTCTTTAACATCTGTGAATCGCACTTCTGATCCCCACCCCTCGACTTTCTGCTACTTTGATGAACCTTCCTTATGTGAAGCCCGAAGTCAGCTAAATGGCTAATGATAGCTATCATAACGCCTGCCATTTGAAACAAATAGATACCTATTAATCACTAAACACCGACAACAAGGCTATTATATTTCTTATTTAATCGATCGGGTTTGATTCCATGTAAACGAGACTCGCGTAAGCGAATATCCTCAATTTTTATCAATTAATGCCTCGAAATTCGAGAGCAACTGCAGACAGATTGATTGTCTCTATCCCATAGAGAATACATTCGTTAATTAAGAAATACCAGTGGTAATATGAACAAAGAAAGTTAATTTTCCATAATTGTCTTCAAGATGAGTAAATTGAAACGGCAGTATTTACAGAGTACCTTATTCTTAATGGGCTAGATGGTAGAATAATGCCAGATCGCAGCACCTTCCGGTTACAATCGGTAACAACTAGACGAAAAAGAGGCTAAATTTAACCCACATAAAACTTTTAATTTGATAAATTAGCAAAGAACGCTGGGCAACAAATAGTTTGGAATGTAGGCGATGGATTGGAAATCTTGTAAACTAGCATAGCAGTGAGGAACGAATTCACTTAAGCACCGAGAATAATCAATTTTATAACACGTCAATCACCTTTCGGTGTCGAATGAAAGTCCTCAATCCACTTAGTTTCTTATTCATGATCGAAGTCTGGAAAAGGATTAAAGTAATGCAAATAAAGCAAGATGGAATGGGGTGAAACTAAGCAGACTCGTTCACCGAGATCTGATTATTCTGGACAAAGCTTCATCCATACATTTGGACATCAAATGATGAAGACTAGAGTTGAATAAAAAGAACTCTTCCACTTATGCGCAAATGCCCAACGCAGTGCTACAGAGTTCAAATAAGACTGCGAATGACGATTTCAGATCCCTTTTCCATTTCTTACCTCATTGAACCTGTTCGTCGTTCCTCCTATTCAGATACTTTTACATGATAAAAATTTGTAATTTTTGGGGAATCAACATTTGGGATAACAGGAACTGAAGACTAGCCAACTAGCACTTCAAACAAAGCCATAGAAAGCTTACCAAGAATCACACGCAATACCTGAGAATTTATCAAACAGGAGGAAAAGAGCTTAGAATTTGTCAATGAGGGCTTACTCACAGACGGAGCCGTAAATCTAATTTATTACCAGACAGGAGTGTACACATGGTCTCTAACCTACATTTTGGACAGTCTAACAGACACTCAGAAATCAGACTATCCAGACGGCATTTAAACACAGACCATGGGACAGTGAAATCTCGAGACTAAACGCACTGCGCTACACACTATCCATCAATCACGTCTGAGAAAGTACAATTAAACAATAACGTGAAGTATATTGAAACAGCGCTGACCTGGCCAGCGGCTTTCAACAAATGATGGGCGGTTTGGACACATCGCAATGCCGGCGAGACGTAGCAGGATGCGAAACGGACACCGGATTCGGCTAGTGAGCGGCCACAAACGCCGGCCATAAAAACACCAACTTGGGTGAGGGGTGAGTCCAAACTATGATCGATAATGTCCTCACGAACTGGTAGTCTTGATGGCATATTGAGATTCAGTCGATGGTAGAGACCTAAGTGAAGCAATAGTAAGATCAATTGCTTTTTAATATCAGCTATTATATAGCGCTTGTGATAAATCAAACCTTGAAATAAGAAATTTGAAATGTTTCAAATATGGCACCACAAACAATATCCGTGGTAAACTGTGAACAACCTAATGCAACCACATTTCAAAGAGGATGAGGCCCTTGACCTCACGTTTTAATTCTCCTTTAAATACTCTATTGACTATTTCACCGTTTAGGTTTAAAATCGCAAAAGTGTTAGATATGTCATGGAGGATTAAAGAGACTTTCAAGATGGGTATGTTTCGAGGACCTCCGAAATGCCGAGTTCCACCTCCGTCAAATCAGCTCCTGCACGTGGGGATGTTCATATCAATTTAGGAGAAACGCTAGCATTACATGCATTTTCTAATCAAGCAAAGCATTTTCGGCTAAATAAATACGGCTAAAAAGTCTATTAACTGGCAGTTAACTTCTGACCCCACTGTATGTCATATTCGACTACCTCCCCAGCACTCACCTCACCTTTTTTTCTACCTTCATCTTTGAAACACTCTTCTGTTCCCTCCCCCCCTCTCTACTTTTTTCACTTTGATGTTCCTTCCC